GGATCAGGCCAATGGCCCATCTGGTCCAACACTCTGTGTCACACAGTGGCCAAAACCCAGGGGCCGTCAGGAGGTCCACCAGTGGGGCCAGGACATTAGAAGCCCTCCCACTGTGCCCCCCCCAGCACTAAGAATACAGAGCATCACTGCCCCCAGACATATGAAATTAAGAGAAGCCATTTGGATCAGGCCAATGGCCCATCTGGTCCAACACTCTGTGTCACACAGTGGCCAAAACCCAGGAGCCATCAGGAGGGCCACCAGTAGGGCCAGAACTCGAGAAGCCCTTCCACTGTGGCCCCCCAAGCACCAAGAATACAGAGCATCACTGCCCCAGACAGAGTGTTCCATCTATACCTCGTGGCTAATAGCCGCTGATGGACCTCTGCTCCATAGGTTTATCCAAGGTCCTCTCGAAGCTGTCCTTGCTTGTAGCTGCCACCACTTCCTGGGGCAGTGAGTTCCACATGACTCCCCGAAGTGGCTTACATAGTTCAACTCTCCTCCATTGTATCCTCACAACCAGTGTTCCCTCTAAGGTGAATTAGTGTGAGCTAGTTCACCATTTTTTTAGCATCCGGCCCACACATTCTTGTCTTTGCTCAGGAAGGAGGGCTCCAGAGCAAACTAATTGATGCAGGAGCCAAATCGCTCACTCACAACTTTAATGTCGTTAGCTCACAAAGCAGAATTTTTGCACACAAGACTCCACAGCTTAGAAGGGAGCATTGCTCACAACACTCCTGCAAGGTAGGCTAGGCCAAGAGTGTGTGGCCTGGCCTGGGTCTTATTCCTCTGCCTGAAGCCTCAGTTCACCATATTCCTCTACTAGATCCCCTTTCCCAGCCTTCTGTCTTTTCACAGCAGCTTCCCACTTGGGGGGGGGGGGGGGGGGGGAAACTTTTCCCCGCCTGCCTGCACATCTGTCTTGGCCGCCTCCGACCCCTTCGCACTGGGGTCCGCGGAAGACTCAACAGTCCTGTCTTGTCCTTTCTTTCCTGATCAGGGACCCCAAAGGAGAGGGGGGGGGGCATCTCTTGAAATAATTGTGCTCCACGCAGGATTGGATGGTGCTGTCTGTAATAAGTCAAGCTTTAGGCTGAAACCTCCCTGTCTGTGCACACGGGAAGGAGGTTCTCCGTCACAAGGGGTCCGCCTCTCTCCCAGACCTCTTTCCCGGCTACAAACAGAGACTTCCTTTCCTCCCACCACGATCTCTCAGCCAGTCCCTGGCTGCCGTTCCAAGCAGGGAGTCACGTCCCCAACAGGAAGCCATGTGGGTGGCTTCGGGGGGGGGGGGATCGCAACTGTCCCCGAAGACTGAGGCCGGCTTTGTTCTCGAGTCCCCCAGAGACTGGCGAGCGGAAAGATCCGTCCCCGGCAATCGCCAGGGGGTGCCAACCCTGCCCACGCGCAGGGTCAGACACAGGGGACTCGAGGAGCCGCACCACAGCTGGCCCGGGCGGGGGGCTCGGGTTTGAAGGGATGCCGTGAGCCGGGGCAAAGCCTCGGCCGAGGGCTGGGACCTAAGGCGGGACTGGTGCCGAGTTTTGAGGGGCGTTGGGCAAACAGTGCTCTCTCAGCCCCGCCTCCCTCACAGGGTGTCTGTTGTGGTGAGGGGAAGGGAAAGGAGTTTGTAAGCCGCTCTGAGACTCCTTTGGGTAGTGAAGGGCGGGGTATAAATCCAATCTCTTCTTCTTCTTCTTTTACCTCACAGGGTGTAAATCCAATCTTTTCTTCTTCTTTTACCTCACAGGGGGTCTGTTGTGGGGAGGGGAAGGGGAAGGAGTTTGTAAGCCGCTCTGGGACTCCTTTGGGTAGTGAAGGGCGGGGTATAAATCCAATCTCTTCTTCTTCTTTTACCTCACAGGGTGTCTGTGTTGGGGAGGGGAAGGGAAAGGAGTTTGTCAGCCGCTCTGAGACTCCTTTGGGGAGTGAAGGGCGGGGT